CATTCTGTCTTATCTGGGCGTCTTCAGCTGAAGAGTCTGATTTTTTACGTTAGTGATCATCTCATCACATGATATGAATGAGCTTGTATTAAGTAATAACAGATGTAAATTACTTTTCAATGATTGTGTTTGGCTTATTTAGCTTAAAAAAACCCGTTGGGGTTAACCTGCGTCAATAACAACGCATGATATTGGCTTAACATTAAAATGTTTTGTTTAAACATGACGTTTCAGTTTTTATCAAAAACACAATTAAACTTCTCAAAGGACTATACTTGCATTAACAGGCAACAAATGCCAACAACTTACCTCTAAGGATATGAAGGGGGGTTTAATGTTTAGGACAATTCACCCCAGTCAGTCTCCCACGCTGCATGTGAGTGGGATGATGAGCGTGTGCTCAGCTCAAAGTCATGATCCCAGCATCAGCAGCAGATCTGCTCTACAGTCACCCTTCCCAGTTCACACAGAGCTTCTGTGAGTCTCTCTCCATCAAACCCCCCAGTCCTCCACCTGGTCCCCAGAGATTTAACAATTGTCCCCAGGCAATTCAGCGTGTTGCTGCCTCCTCATGCCTTATTGTGTCATCAAGCCTCTGATTGGCTGAGACTGCTGAGAAACTCCAGTAAGACTAAAGACGCCACACATTCATATGTAGATGTCGGGGACTATAAATTAGGAGGGATGCAAGCCCAGCAGAGATCAGCATTCCTTCTACAGAGACCCCTCTACAGCACAGCAGATCCAGCATGGCCCTGACAATCACTGCAGCAATGACCAATTTCTCAGGAGCATCTGGACTCTGACCCACAAGGTACATTGAAAATTCAAGAATATTAATATTGTTAATGAGATGTGTATCTTGTTTTATAAACATTATGACTCCAGCAATAAGTTTTATTAATGACTTTCTTCTCTTTTTGCAGCTCAAAAGCTTCAGGTGGAAAAAAATTACGCAGAGAACCGAATCAACAGCAGCATTGAGCAGCTCAAGTCTCTTCCTGGACCCAGATTCCTTCAAACAGCAGCCAGACTCCAAGCTGAGAGAAAGAGACATCCTTGGAGATGACAGTTGCTGTCCTTGAGACGACTGCAAGCAGCGGCATCAACTGTGGATCAGCAGCTGTTGAATTCAGGGCTACTCCAGGGTGTTTTTTCTTTCCAAGATGTGACCACACTTCCTGTCCAAGGACAGGTGAAGACACATCCCAGAGAAGACTGCTGAACCACTTCAACAAGCTGCAGTCTTCCTCTGCATAAGAACCTGAGAGAGGCTGACTTCTCTGCTCCACAGTCCAGACCAGCATCACCAAAGACAAGAGTCCAGTCAACAGCGCCCTCTGGAGGCCGTGGTAGACACCTACATTCTGGAGTTACTACCAGACAAACTCAGATGACCACATTGGTCAAAAGTTATTATCAGACATATTATTCTGAAATGTAATAGAAGTATCTGTGCAAAGTGTTTTAATTCATCACAGGGTCATATTGGAGTGATATTTCCATTTACTTTTGGGAATAGAAAATGAAATATTTTTTGTGAAAATGTTGAGCAGCACATAATTGTACTCTATGAATAACATATATTATCTTATTGATTTACCAGTATAATTAGAAATTGGCCAATATTGGTCAGACTTATCACACCTGCCTTTAAGTCCTGTAAGTCTTCTGTTTCAAGATTGATCTAGTGACTTGAATTGGGAAATCTCAGCTACTTTCTGGTAGCACTTTTTCTTTAATTGACTTTTTACTTTGTAAAAGATTATTGACCCACGTTGGGTGTTGAAGTCATCTGTTCTATCATCAACATGTTTTGTTGTGTCAACAGTACAAACGTATATCTGAAAGTAATTTTTTCTTATAGAGTTTGTTCACTTTGTTTAGGTTTTACTAAACCATTCCCTGTCTTTTGTAAAGACACTGAAGCTGTCCACTTTACTCTTTTTGAGTACACTGTCTTAAACTACAAGTATTTACTGTGATGCATCATCACCACTAGTGCCTCTATGATGTGACTCATTCATTCATTTTGAATAAAAAAACATCAACTGAATCTTCAACTGTGTAACTTCATTCTTTACGAGATGAACCGTGAACAACCATATCTGAACGCCATGACAATGCTGGGATTACATTATTTATAAGGCTATTGTACTGGATTGTAGTTATTTGCATAGCTGTTACTGTCTCCATCGCTCTGTAGTCTATTGTAGAATCATTCAATGAGGACACTTTATATTTCTATTATGGCTCAGCACCACCCTCTACTGGTGTGTTTGTGTATATGCTCTACAACACAAGGAAACACATGGGAATAGATATATTACCTAGTTATAAAATACAACCCCTTTACATACTGTTTTCTTCTTTTGTGTCCCCATTAGTAGCTTTAATGCTGGTAAAAACATCTTAATCCACACTGTCTGACCTCATATACTGCAATCAGCTTGTTCCAACTCTTTGAGATGTCATGGTCTTTCACTGGGTGAAATATTTAAACCCAAGATGTGTTTGGCTGCACCATTCCATCATCAAATAGAAATATTTAGTGTGTATTGTGCATCAATTATACAGATTGCCCCAAATTCAAACATACATACACATTTGATGTTTTTGGAAACTTTTGGATCTCCAGTATAAATTAAAAATAAATACGAGCTGCTGCTTGTTAGGGGTTTGACAAGTTAATATTAATCTAAATGATTAAAACCACTCACCATGATAATAATATAATGTAAATTGATTGTTTGACAGAGTAGTGGCTAAAATAGTTGTAACTTGACCTCCAAGTCCTGTTTTAGAAGCCAACACCTAATTTTTCCTATCTAAAAAAAAGGTCCTATTTTTGAGTCTATCGCTTCCTCAACATCTTTTTTTGATAAACTGCACCAATTACACCTCAAATACCTACAATACTGCCGTTTTGTACTCCTTTTTAAACTGAGCTGAGCCAGCCCTTGTTGCAGTTTTGAGTAGACGTGCAAAAAAAACATTAATACAACTATGCACTCTTGCAATAAGTTAAAAAAATGATGAGAAATCTTAAAAAAAAAAACAACGTTCATAGTGGTACGGAAACGTTCACAGGACAACACCCACCACGCAGGCAGTACGCGGATGCTGATTGGACGACGGAGGGGGCACGCAAGCTACGTACGCTACGCACGTTACGCACGCAGCGTCAAATCATTGTCGACCATGGCGGAATGTGTTCGACTTGACAGCAGCACAAGTAGTCACACCATGGATAAAAGCATTACTCTTCCCCCAGACGAAATATTCCGCAATTTGGAAAACGCAAAGCGGTTCGCGATAGACATAGGTACCCGGGAATCTAAAAGTTTTCTTTCTTTCTTCCTTTGTTTCGCCACTTTTTTTGCTTTGAACGCAGCTAATCGTGTAGCTCTGCCGCAGCCTTTGATACAATGACAACATATTGACTTTAAGTGAAAGTAAACAAAGACAAAGCTAACGTTAGCCGCGTGACTTCGCGTCTGCTTTTAAAATGGGTTTGACAGCTAAAAGTCTGTTTTCACCGTGAAGATGGAAGTGTGGTGAGATTTGAGGCGTATCTTTATCTCGACAAAGCGAAGGTGTGCCAAACAACCTGGCCAACTTTACCAAGTACAGCAGCGGTGATGTTAACTGCTAGGTGGCATGTGTTGAGGTGCTACAGTTCACATTTTCAGCATTTCTTTTTTACATTATCAATGCTGCTTTGCTTTAACAGGTGGATCTCTCACAAAGCTTGCCTACTACTCAACTGTACAACACAAAGTGGCCAAAGTCCGATCTTTCGACCACGCTACAAAGGTAAATGTATTTATGAAACGGTGGTGTCCTGAGGAATGATCCGTTTTCCTACAGCTAAGTCCAATCTGCATGGGCGAGGGGGAGCTTAGGGTCACATATCCTGTTAGTCTGCATTGTAACATAATATATTGTGTGTATTGCAACATGCAGTAGTTAAACAGGTGGATTTAAAGATGTGTTCTTTCTGCTCTCCGTCTCATCTGTGTCTCAGGAGGCTCCCAGTGACAAGCTCTATGAAATATCGGTGCAGGAAGAGGTCACTGCACGCCTGCACTTTATCAAGTTTGAAAATGCTTACATTGAAACATGCTTGGACTTCATCAAAGACCATCTGGTCAACACGGACACCAAAGTTATCAAAGCCACAGGTGGAGGGGCGCACAAGTTCAAAGAACTCATTGAGAGGAAACTGGGACTCAAGTGAGTATAGGTTTTTGGTCCGATGCTGCACAGTGTTGTGCTGTAGATACCGCACGTACTAGCAAACAGAAAGGAAGGAACATTTCTGACATATTCTGGATGACTGAGTTGTAATGAACAATGGTATGCTCTTACTGTAACTGATTCATAGCAATGTCCTGGTTCCCTCCTGTGAATCAGGTGGAGGAGGAGGACGGATTTGATTGTTTAGAGCAGCGAGTGAATCAAACCTTATGAATTTGAATTGACTTTGAATTGATTTCACTTTATTATGAACATTGATTATGAACACTACTATGGAAAGGTTTAGTGTTTACTGGCTTGCAAACTGTGGCTCTTTGCTTTGCTCGCTAAACAAACACTGTGTGAAAGCAACAGAGCATTCACATATTGTCGCCATCCATATGGCCTTTAGCATTTAGAGACATATATAAGTGTTTTGTCCAGTTTTTCATAAAATTTAGCTCCAGTAATTCAACTAAAACCTGCCTATGTGACTCTCTGCATAGAACATTTTAAATGTCAAGCAACATTGCAGAAATGAGACTGCACATTATATTTAATGATTCACCAGACGGAGGACAGAACAGGTAGTCTTCTCCTCTGACTATATGGAGGATTCAAACTAATGGTCTCTTTGTGCGTTGCAGAGTGGACAAAGAGGATGAGATGACCTGCCTCATCAAGGGCTGTAACTTTGTGCTGAGGAACATACCCCACGAGGCTTTTGTGTACGCCAAGCACGCCGACTCAGAGTTCCGTTTTCAGACGACTCAACCAGACATCTTCCCTTACCTGCTCGTCAACATCGGCTCTGGAGTGTCAATAGTCAAGGTAATGACAGACTTGTTAGTGCTTTAGGAAAGTAGGTTTCCTTGTGAAACAATATAAAGTAGAGCTGACATGATTAGTTGATTCATTGTAGTGGTCAACCGAAAGGGATTTTTAGATGCTGATGCCGATGTATAGAGAGCAGGACGTCTGATGGCCGATATATATAATATCAATTCCAAAAGATAAGTCGTGTATAATTACATTATTCTATGCACATTACAATCTAATATACATGATTATCTTACCCAGTAACATGTTGTTTTAGATGGAAATGGTATTAATTAATGAAATAGAGAGCGGGATAAAGGATGTCAGAAGTGACGTCATTCAGCTGCATTATTGTATACATTATAACATAATATATATTTAACACTAGCCAGTAATGTGCCACACTAACAAGACTCCCTGCAGAAACACAGACATTGTTGGTTTATCAGCCTGGTGAGCGCAGGCATCGACCGATGCTGGTTATCTCTAAATGCCAGATAATTGGCCCAATTCATTGTCCGACCAATTAAACAATTAAAAATACATCCCGTGTTTATTGTGGAAGGTTTTTCCAGATGATTAACATTTGTTCTGCTTTCACTATATTTCATACAAAAGGCCATTCTCTCCCTCTTCAACAGGTTGAATCAGAGGACAAATTTGAGCGAATAGGAGGGAGCTCAATCGGTGGAGGGACGTTCTGGGGCCTTGGAGCCCTGCTCACCAAAACAAAGGTACCCTCAGTAACTTTTACTGTCTGACTTTAGTAGCTGTTACTTAGAAGTCAATTAATATGGCTTCTCAGTGAAATATTTTGTTACCTTAAGCCTCGTGAACTTTACCCTTTTTTTTCCTGTAGAGATTTGATGAGTTGCTACAATTGGCTTCAAAAGGGCAGCACACAAGTGTCGATATGCTTGTCAAAGATATCTACGGAGGATCTTACGGGTCTTTGGGCTTGACTGGAGATCTTATTGCGAGCAGTTTTGGAAAGTCTGCTACTGCTGACAAAGGTGACACATGGCCACATTAATTTTATTTGTGGCTGCCCTGTAGCGTTATGTATATATCCAGGTTGGCGTGATAAAAGAGGAAGAAGGAATAATACTTTTTGCCTTGTGTATGCAGTTATTGGACCAGAAAATACATTTAAGCAGTACCCCACCCAGAGTGCCTTGGTAGCCCAATGGTTACAGGCCACATGGTTGCAGATGTTGCCAATTTGCCTCTTTGGTGACTGTCATACCCCTCTGTCTCCCCCTCCCTCCTGTCTACCTCTTCACTGTCACTGTCCAATAAAGGCAAAAACCACGAAACAAACTAATCTCAAAAGGAAAAACAGTGCCCCATCCATCTTTTGAGTATCCAACACTCGCCTTATGTGGACATTTGCATCAACTGCAGTCAGCCTGGATTCATGATTTATAAATTATATCTAACAATACTGTAGTTTCCCAATTAAATGGCAAGGCACATTACTAAACTTAAATCCTCACACGTCACTATTGGAATATAACCTCTGTGAATTCAAGCTGACTGCTCTGCTGACAGGCTACAAAGTGTAGAGTTTACCATTAAGTGTAAGTTATATTAAATGTATGCCACAAAGTCCACCACATATTTCTGCTTGTGGTGTCTCTGCAAGGCAGGCTTAATTATTTCCAGTTTTAGTACAAGCCTGGGAGTGAAGTGATGACCTCTCACCCAGTTCCGATACAGCATTGTCCTCTCCATGTGCTGTATTTGTAACTGTTAGGAAATGTAGGGTGGCAGCTCTCAACAGAAGTTCACAGCTTTGCCGGATTATCAAAGCAAATCCTGTTAGTGTCCATCTGCTGCTGTTGAGCAATTATTGAGTAGTTTATACAGTTAGTGTTTAAAAAAGGGGATTTGATACTGATACCAAATTGTTGTTCCAATGCTCAGATATCATTTTGTTATATATTGCACTGACATTGAACAGAAGGAAGTAAAAAAAAAAAGCTTCCTAACTACTGCATAATTGCCACTGTTGTACTGTTAAAATATTCAGTAGTCAGTCTTTTAATCCCCCTTAAACAGCTTTTTAGTTGTCTGATGTGGATATTTTGCCTGTATGTTACATGTGTCTCTGTTCTGAATTGTAGAGTTCTCTAAAGAAGACATGGCCAAGAGTTTACTCCATATGATCAGCAACGACATCGGGCAGCTGGCCTGTCTGTACGCCAAGCTCCACAACCTGTCCAGAGTTTACTTTGGAGGCTTCTTCATTAGAGGACACCCTGTCACCATGCACACAATCACTTACAGCATCAACTTCTTCACCAAGGCAAGGGCTTCATTGTCTGTTTTTATCTTATTCTAACTGATAAAAGTCCTGAACTTGGTCAGCTCTACATGACAGTTTTTCTACTACAGTCTCAGATTTTTATGTTATTACCGTCTTTTGTTTTGTTGTAGGGTGAAGTTCAGGCCTTGTTTCTAAGACATGAAGGTTATCTCGGAGCCATTGGAGCATTTCTTAAAGGAGCAGAGGAGGACAGTAAGGAAAAACCTACAAATTCACATTATCGTCCTCAATTTGGTATCATGAGGGTTACTGTATATATTGATGAATATTGGGCTAATGCCATATAACTGTGAAGGAGAACTATTTGGCAGTTTATCCTTTTGAAAGCAATGTGGCTTTTTCACCCACATGATCATGCAAGTTCTCCCTCACACATTAGGGCTGACTGGAAACTTGTAGTGTAGTATTACAGAGACATATTCTTGCATGTTTTCACTGACATCAGGTATGAATAAAATCCCTGTACCTCTGTTGTGAAACTACTGAACCTGTCGGTCTGCCTTTCATATAAACACATTTAACTAACTGCAATGGCAGAATATAGAAGAAGTCATGTAGGTAATAATGCTAGAGCACTAATAAAAGATAAAGATTAAATAGAATTAAAAGCTGGTGTACTGCTAGCTGACTTGGCACCAAATGTTTTGAATTACTAACCTTAAATACTAATAAAAATCACCATAATTCAAATGTTATACCATAAATATATCGTAATTCAACATCTTGTACTCTAGATCCAAACCAGTACAGTTGGGGTGAGAATTATGCGGGAAGCTCTGGCCTGATGAGCGTTTCTCCGGATATGAATCCCATGCAACGTGCACGTAGTGGAACGGTGAGTCTGCAGAGGAAGCAAAGAGTGATTAGATAGACCTGAATTTGGCTCATGTTCCACAAGGGGCCACTTAAACCTTACAACCTATTTTCACTCTTCTGCTGGTTCACTGTTTTTTTTGTTTCACCCACCTTCTTCCATCAAGTTACTGATATTTCTATATGTGAGCTTTATTTCGCATTTCATTTTCGAAACCAATCCATGACCATCATAAAAGACGTTCATTTATCTTTGATAATGTTTCTTTTCGTTTCCTCTCCACACATTCCTCTGTCTGCCTAACTCTCTCCTTCAGTTTCCCGTAAGTACCTCCGTCTGCTTCACTTGTGTGCCCTGACTTGATGACATGTGGCTCCCGCTCACAGCGCCTTGTTCTCTCACTGTAAACACTGAAGTATTTAGTTATGTCAGGAATTCACTTTGTTCACTTATGCGAGGACAAGAGAGACCTGAGAGCTTGTTTTTGTAACTTATCCTTGATTTTTCTAAATATATTGCTACTGTTTTGTTCCTTACTAAATGATATTCTAGTCAAATCCTGTGCTTTGATGATGTATAGTAACAGTGTTTGATGTTTTTGAAAGCCACTTTACTCTGGTTGGTGTGATACTTTGAGCATGTAGGCCTCCGTAGAGCATCAGGAGCTGTTAACCTCTGTTAGCATTATCTGCCCTGGAAGCCACTGTCGCCACTGAATTTCCTGCTTTTTTACCAACTTTTATTAACTAGTTTTCATTAGTGCAAACTGGCAATGTGTGATGCAAGACTGCAAATAAAATATTAGTTCATCTTTGGGGACTTACCACTCAAAAAACATTGTATTGATGTAGTATGTTCTTTATAATCAGTTGACTTCCTCTAATGGACTATTGATTGTGTACTATAAGTAATGAGTCTTCTGGCTTCCTCCCGCTTTTACTGTTAACTCTTGCTAGAGCCCTCCCTCCTTTTTTTTCCTCTCCGCTTTTTGTTAATAAAAATAAAAAAAATACTAATATGAGTGAAACCTACCACAGTGTTCCTAAGCTGGAGGGAAAGGTTGTGAAATACATCCTAGAATACAAGTTAAGAAGAGTGATAACTGGAACAGGCTTTGACGTTTGAGGGGCTGGAAGAAGCATTGAGCGGTCTGACAGTGCCTTCTCTGTCTCTTTGTTGTGTCTAGTTTGACATGTTGGAGATGGACCGTCTGGAGAGAAAACTGGTGAATCTGCCTCTGCTGCAGGACCCTTCATCTTACATCCCTGACACCATGGACCTCACAGAGGACGCTCTGGCCCGTGAATACTGGCTCTACTGCTTCGAAGAGGCCCTAGACGGGGTAGAGTGGCAGCTTATGATTTGAAATGCAGTATTTCTTTGATGGTTAACTTTATATTTGAGGGGAAAACTCCCCAGTGCAGTTCTGGTGGATGGCGAAACTTTAATATATCTGCCTCCTCATATGGGTTTGTGTTTGTATGAACAGATGAACAAAAGAAGCTCTTTGTTATTGTTACCAAAATTTCACAATTCGGATTTACATTTTAGACAGCTAATAATAAGCTACGTTGTATCTGCACTGAACAAAATGATATCATGTTGCAATATTTAAGTTTAACCAGTTATCTTTGACAATTTTAGGACAAAATAAGCCCAGAAATGGTCGGCCCATTGGTGTTTACAGGTCAGCTTTTCATATGAGATGAACTGGTTGGATTTCTTTCCCCCACTCAGTGCCTATGCTCCACAGAGGTTGTGAACATGGCTGATTACTGTTCTTGTGTTTTGGGAGCAGGTGGTTAAGCGAGCTGTAGCGAGCCAGCCTGACATGCCAGAGGCAGCCCAGCGAGCCGAGAAGTTCCGCCAGAAATACAGACACAAGCTCCAGACCCTCCGCCAACAGCCTTTGTAAGGACTTTGTTTGTTTCTGCATGCAAGGCCTTTCAGTTTGACCCAGAGGTTGCTATTAGTAGACTGAACCTCAAATCTTTTCTTCAGCGTCTGCATTAGTTTCTCGTCTTCATACCTGCTGTAACTGCCCGTGTGCTTTGTCCATGAAAAAGGGAAATCTTAAATTCGTTCACTGTTTTATTTGTTAGGATTCAGAGTTATTTCATAAGTATGTTGCAGTAATTCTGTCCAAGATTTATCAGAATAATGATAACAGAATTATGAACATGTAAGCTATTGCTAAAATTTGACAAAACAAAACAAAACGGCTATGTGCCAGATTCTCAGAAACCAGTTCTGCAAGTCTTCTCCAAGTTTTTAAAAGGTCATTTTGACAAAGTGTTTACAACACTGTCAGTCCACATAACCAGCACTGTCAATGCCAGTGAAACCTACTACTGTATGCATCAGCCGCCCCAGCCCTGTGTGTATGTTTATTTCTCTGGCTAATGTAGAGTGCTTCTCTTCTCACCTAGTGCTTATGGATCCCTCACTGTCAGAAGTCTGTTAGACACGAGGGAACACTGTTTAAACGAGTTCAACTTTCCTGATCCCTACTCTAAGGTCTGAGTAAAATCTATCAAACTATTTTGTTTTCTTTTTGTCTTTCTTTCGTGTGCTACAGTTTGGTGGTTTGGCTCTCGCTGATCTGAGTTGTCAGCTATGTTTTCATACAGTCTCATGGTGTTACACAAGACAAGAGTTTATTTTGATCTCAATAATTATGCCTATAATTTAGGTCATTAAATTGTTCAACGCATATTTCCTTTTTGTTATATGTTGAATGTTGCATGCTCCTACCAATCTTGTATCATATTGAAACCAGCTGTTTCATATTTCTGTTTTGTTGTAGATTAAGCAGAAGGAGAATGACATGGCACTCAAGTATTACCAGAAGGCAGTGAAGTCCCTGGAGGAGTTGAGCTGGGAGCAGAGACAGTTTGCCCTGGTCAGGGGCGTCCTGGCTGGGAATGTGTTCGACTGGGGAGCCAAAGCCGTGTCAGAGTGAGTGGAGTTAATGGCTTTTATATCCTGTGAGCATCCGGGTTGATTGGTTTCTCTGTTCTGTCTGATTGTGGGCAGTCGGAGAGGTTCTGGTTGCTTTAAACTGGATGTTTTTCACTGCTGTGGTAGTATGTTTGGTAATATTACATTATTTTGATATGTTAGATACCCTACCCTAACACAGTGCCACGCATCCCTACAAAGAATCGAACGGCAGCCCAATGATCCTTTAAGACTTTTTAAAATTTCTGTTGCCCTTTGAAACTTTAAGTAAGTCTCTCACGGTAATCTTGTTTTCTGAGGTCAGCTATGGCCTCGTATTCTTGGCCAGAGTTTCCCATCTCCTTTAAGAAATGAATTGATAATGGTTGATTTGAGAGCAGACATAACCTTTTTATCTACAGGCTAGGCTGCAATGGCTGGTAAACTTTAGTTTCAAACTCAGTGTCTGGAAGGTGTTCTTACTTTTGCTTGTTTTTGTTTTAATGTGATACAGTGTCCTCGAGTCTGATCCTGAGTTTGGGTTTGAGGAGGCTAAACGACAGTTGGAAGGTAGCCATGTATTTCTCTTCTCTTTCACTTCTTTATTTTTCCACAGTTTTGTTGTGAAACCATTTGACATTTGATGTCTTTTTGAGAAATAATAGCTAAAGAGAAAACAGAGAGACTTTTACAGTGACTCTTGGTGCCCAGAGTGATTTATTTTATTTACTTTTTTTTTTTCAGAGCGGCCGTGGCTTGTTGACTCCTATGACCAGTGGCTTGAGAGACTAAAGGTCAGGCTCTTTCTCTGCTTTTTCATTTCAAATCCAAGTTGTTCATTGTACAGAAGCATTATTGATGGGACATGAGAATTTGACAGTACCATGAGTACACACACACACACACACACAGACTGTTTAGCACAGATGACCTCAGAAGGACACACACGTAACTCAAACAGTGTCAGCACAGCTATGTCCCGATTAAGCACAAAGAGGAAACACAGCTTTTTCGCACTCATTAGTAATATTTCAAATACTTGCGACAGCGTTTCTGTGATATGTGCTCTTGATGATTAGTGCTTGAATACAATCCATCCTGGTTTTCTCTTGCAGGGTCCTCCTCATAAGTGTGCCTTGTTTTTCGTAGATAATAGTGGAGTAGACATCATTCTAGGGGTGATGCCTTTTGTCAGAGAGCTTCTCTCTCGAGGAACAGAGGTAAGGAACTCTTAACAACATCATTTCAAAAATATAGTTGATAAAATGTTAATGCAACTCTTCTATCCGTCTACCTTTAGGTTGTGTTGGCAAGCAACTCTGGTCCGGCTTTGAATGACGTCACGAATGGTGAACTGCAAATACTGACAGAAAGAATCGCCGCCATGGATCCAGTGATTCAGTTCGTTTTTATTATTGTTTTTAAAAACAGACAAGACAACCAATGAGAAGAAACTGTTATTATTAGTCCCCATATTATAATATTTTCTTTCCTGAGTAAATTCTAGAATATAATTTCTACGTCTGATCTTGTGATTTCACAGCTAAAAAAACTTTTTAAAACAACTACGGAAGCTCTTAAAATGTGATCTTGTGTTATGTAGGGCTGGTCTGAGGGAGGACAGATTGATGTTGGTCCAGAGTGGTTCCAGTTCACCCTGCCTGGATCTGAGGTTGGTTGTTGGAATACTATTTACTCTGGGAAAACAGTAATTTCTGAAATGGAGAGATGGGAGATTAAGAATAAAAGCTTCTGAAGTGAGAATAGTGTTAATCAGAATGCAAATTAATATAATATTGACACAGTCATTTTCTATTCTTTATTGTAGAGAATTACACTTTCACAGATGCAATTTCCCACACTAACGAGTTACACTTTAAAAAGCCAGAAGCACCTGGAGAAGAATTCATTAGATTGTTATTAGATTAGAGTGTATTATCGTCAGTTTAACGCATCAGAAATGTTAACATGTTTTATTCTCTGCCACTCCCCAGCCGCCTGGACAAGGTGCTAGCGATGGTCGTGCGGGAGCGACAAACCGACCTGGTGATCATCGAGGGAATGGGCCGAGCCATTCACACCAACTACTACGCCATGCTCAGCTGCGAGAGCCTCAAGATGGCCGTCATTAAGAACTCGTGGCTGGCCGACCGACTGGGAGGAAAGCTGTTCAGCGTGGTCTTCAAGTACGAGGTACCGGCTGGAAAACCCAGCCAGCACTCTGCAGCGCTGTCGCCCTTATGAGCCCAACAGAAGCTCGTGTTTGAGCAGGACAGAACGCCGAAGTCGAGCAGCCAGAATGGATAAGCTGTAGCTCTGAATGTAAGGATGATGATACTGCCACTAAGTGAATGAGTGATCGGAAAGCTGATTGTAAAATTTAGGTGGGTTTTAAAGGTGATCATTAAAGGGTAACTTTGGTATTTTTTAACCTGGACCTTATTTTCCCATGTTTTTGTGTCTATGTGACTGATGGGGACATCGTTTTTAAAAATGTATCGAGTTAGATGTGAAAATATTCTGGCTCTACACACTGTTTCTCCCTGCTGCCTCTCTGATGCCCTCTTGTCCATCTCCCGACATTTTCACATCTAACTCGTTGAATTAAGGATTTATTTCGACCAAACCAGAGTTGTTGATTGTTGGAACAGTGGAAAGAGTCTGGTGGCTTTGAACAGAGCAATATAATTGCTGTTTCTGGTTAAACAAAAAGGATCTTGCTCTTTAACAAAAAGGTGTATCTTTGTAGGGATGCTTCCCATAATGTTGTCAGACAGTAATAATAATAACAATCTGAGTGTGTCAGTGGCAAAAACAAGGATTGCAGTTGACATTTGTTTTCCTTCTGCTGGCTGCAGTCCTCTCACTCAATACTGGACCAATTTCAGACATTTTTTAATCACTCTCACAAAAACATGGGAAAATAGTCTTGAAAAATACCAAAGTTGCCCTTTAACAGGGAGGTTTTACATTTATTTTTGAAATATTGTTGATTTTAGCTGGTGCATGGTTTACACTGCTTTCTTGCAGGTCTCTGTCCAACATCCTGTACAATCCCTTAGTTTGCCATCATTACTGATCTCATTCAGCTGGAGTTTGTTGTCATGTGAAGTCGCTGGCTGTGTTCAGTAAACATTTACAGACTGTTAAGACAAATGAAATGAATGAAACCTTTTTTTTATTTTATATTTTAGCAGTCATTGTCATTCTGCGAGCACACAACACTGAGCACCCATATGGGCAAATGTGATTCTCTTCTGGAGTGTTTGTGTGTCAGAGGGTGAGAGCTGCAGCAGTAATTACAGCTTTCAGCGGTAACACTTTTTACATAAAGTGTATTTAATGTGCCTTGAGGCTGATGTGATAAAAGCGTCATTCACGCAGACTGCTTTTACTTCCTGCTAAAGGAAATATCTGCTTTTGTTTCCCAGCAATCTCACGCCATAGACTAGGAAGAATCCATTGATCTCCTGTGTTTTATTACTGCCAGTGAATGAATTGAGATTAAAAAAATGAATCATTGTCACTGTCACTTGTGTAGCTGTTAAAGTGGCATCAGGGAAAATGTTTGATCAGTGGGAGAAGCAGCACTTTATCACAAAGAGATTCGGTTGTGTTCCTCCACAAGGTGGCAGTATTCTACTGTGACGTAGGTTTTTATGATTTCTCAAATATTTCCCAAGGTGCTTGGTGTCAAAAATTAACACTGCATATTTCAGGTTGAATATTCTAACTGTCTCTGATCAAAGCTTCACTTGGAACTTTTTGTCACTGAGCTGGCCGTGGCATGAGTCCAGAGATTCACTGTAATTAACTGGCATGTTCAAGTACAAGCTGTATCCCTAAATCAAAAGGCAATAATACTGCAGCACCTAGTTGTAACAAACATCAAACACTGTGTGATTGTGAAGTGGCTGACTGTATTGGTGACTTCATCGTAAATATCTGAATTTAAGGGATCTGATTTTAAAAAGCCTTGGGAGTGAAAATGTTCCCCAAAGGTGCAGTTGCTTGACATGTGGACTCACATTGCAATATTGTATTTGTCATTTGTACATACATGTGATATACAAGTCTGTGTGTGTATACACATATACATATATATAATATATGTATTATTTTTTTATATATATATATATATATATATATAGTAATATATATATATATATATATATATAAAATTCATTTGCATCACTTCCGTTAAGCACACCAAGCACAATTTTGTGTGTTATTCTCCTGACAATCAATTTTAATTAAATGGTGAAAACCCTTATTTTATTCCTTTTTTGTGCGTGTGTTTTCATTTCATATGTGTCTGGGGAGTTTGCACCCGTGTAGAGGAACAGGGAAAGTTGAAAGTTGCCACATATTAAAAAAACCAAACCTGCCCCTGGCGGTATAAAAGCTCGACACCCTGGTATGTGGTGGTTGATGCCTGCTGGGGAGCTGTGGGTTGATAATGCATGAGGACGCCTGGCAGGGGGTCCTCCTGCTTTTCCTCTCGCTCATCACTCTGACTGCCAAAACACACACACACACACCAGTTCTGCAAGACACCCTTGTGGATTTAGTGACATCTACGTTTAACGTATGTAAGGTCTGCTCTGGTTTTGTGTTTCTTTCTGTATAAGATCCAATGTGGGTTTCTCTTCAGTACACTCGTGGACAGTCCCCACTTTCATGAGAGCATGACACCCACACAGAAAATGATTACAAACCAGTTGGTGTCTCTGTGATATTTTGCAGGTGAACCAGAACTCTCAGTTGCTGCACATGAATTTCAGATCCATACCGACACTCCTCTACACAAATATTTCCCTTTGAAAACACCGAGCACGGCACCAGGTTTACCAAGTTAGTTTCAATAGACGTGTTTCTGCAGCTGCAGAGGGACAAACCATTTATTGCTGTATTTTCACTGTATAACTTTCTAATTACAGGCAAGGCTCATAACACACTGATTCCGCAGGCCTTGAGAAAACAGTGCATCATTGACTGATACTGTTTGCATAACACTAATTACTGTAGTTACAGTAAACAGTGAGTTCAAAAGACGTTTTTTCCTGAGCTTTGAATTCAACACACTGCGGCTGAACCTTTTGTGAATTCTGAGTAACAATAACATCAATTTGATTGGTCATGTGGCCTTAAAAATACAATGCAGTACTTTATGTTTTAGATGTGCCTCTTGTGTCTCTTGGGTAATTTGTAATAACTTTTTCCTTGCATTAATATTTGCAAGTGTTTTACTCGACTTAATGTGGTGGAGCTTACATTCAAATAATGTCGGGTATCAGAGCTCTGAAATTGGTCTTCAAATTGTCCACATTCCTCCGGCTCTTACAGTAATATCTTTTGCAGTTGCTCCCAGCCTTCCTGTCTGACATACCTGATGTAATTTAACATTATAAAATGGATTGTGTCATCAATTATACACAGTAATCCTTCAATTGTCAGTCTCTACATTTTTTTCAGCAGTTTTCAAAAAGTTTGCATTCATGCTTCTACCACTTACTTCATGTTCCAGCATTATTCATTACTTTTAGTCAAGTATTTCTATTTCTCTGATCAATAGTTCAATCATTCTCAATCTCAGCTGGTGATATAGCTGATTCATGCAGTAGTGGTACCTAGATCCAGAAGTAAAAGTACTAACCTCCTTCAAAAAAATACACCATTAAAGTCAAAGCCCTGCATTGAAAATGTTACCTGAGTAAAGTTAAGTATAATTATGTATTAAGTGTAAAAGTACTCCATGCTGAGAAATGTCCTGTGACTGTTCTACTATTACATATTATATCCTTAGGGTTATTATTACTCATCCATTAATGTAAAAGCAGGATTTTACTGTTAAAGCTGGATGAGGTGGAGCTAATTGTTTTGTACAAGACCGCAACTATTGATTATGTTTATTATGGATTTTCTCCATTATTCAATTAGAGATCCGAGAGAGAAAATGTAGTAGAAGTAGAAAGTGGCATGAAAAGGAAAGACTAAACATGTTTGTACTTGGATTAAGGTTGGTGGGAGGACACTGTGCAGTCAACCTATTGTGGCTGTGTAGTTACTACAGTAGTGGTTAATTTACCATAAATCTTCAAATAAAAGCAGAATCCCAATTAGACACAGGTCCCCTTTACTAACCGTGATGTGGCTACACGTTTTGACAAATAAACTCAGGTCTCAATTACACGCCTGGATTTTATAGAAATTCTAATCCTAAAGCCCACCGGGTCGCCCGCTTGAGGGAGATCTGAACAAGCCAATAAACTATTTGATAGTATTTCCCGTCTTTGCTGAGCAAGAGTTTTGTGCAAAATGAATTTAAAGGTATGTTCCAAATAAAGGCAGGTTGAGTTTAAGGCATTATAAATAAGCCTTACACCAGTTTGTAATCCTGTTGTTTATTCTTCTCCCAAACTGAAATACATGGATACGCTGAACTGCTCCACAATGTTACTACGCAGCCCTTCGTGGGAATCACTGATCTATTGCAACAAACTCCACTTATCTGCATTTCCAGATTACCTACAGCTACTCTTCATACGAGGCAATGCTGCAGACCTGTGAGGATACGTTTGTTTGATTCCAGCATGTGTGCCACTGACACTGACTCCCCATCATGATCTCTGAAAAACCTTTTTTTCAGTCTCGTAGGAGGCACACTGGAGCTACAGGGGTCCAATTCAAACGCCATCTTGTTCTTCACAGAGCCGCTGATATCTTGCTCAAATCTGCCTGACACCGAGTGAAAGCATGAAGCAATACGTGGAAATATTGAGAACTTGAGATGGAAGCTACAAAAAAAGTATTTTAATAAGTGCCAGAAATACTTACTGTAGGGTCAGTGTGCTTGCTTAGAAGTTCTTTATCCAATGAACACAATGTGGATACATAATGAAACATGTATTATATGTAACAAATTCACAGTGTGCATGTGCAGTGGGCCAATACTAAAGCTTTTACAATGCAAGATGTTTGAGCACTCAATACACATTTCCAAAGGCATTATAGTTTTTAGTCTGTTATCTTCCTTCAGCAGACTCCGTGTTGCACTCACACTAAGTGGCTTGTCAGCATTGTTTGTATTCAAACCAAATTAGTATAAAGCTTGTTCACTGGGTTCAATAACGCTAACAAGCAATTTCTTCCAAGGCGGACACAACAAAACATAAAATAAGAGACTCAAATTCTAAATGTCAACCGATTCCCTGAAGTGATTTATGCACAAATCATTCTGCAAAAGTACAGAGTTAAATCTTTTGACACACAACGGGCTCATAGTGTAGATTTAGAATAAAGTCTCGCTGGTGCTGAGCAGTCAATTGAGTTTAAGATCAAGACAGAACAAAATGCAGTACCAGGGCTTCACTGCAGAGGAGGCTCACTGCTGAATGTTGTTGAAGGTGTTTTTTGGGCAATTTACTTAAAAAAAAGGGAGCAGTTGTCTATTTTGGCATACATTGAGGAATAAACATGACTTAAGAGATCGATGTACGATTTACAAATGAAACTGCTGCACGGCCAAAAGTATGTGATCATCCATGCATGTGATTGTAGAACATCTCATTTTAAAGCATTAATCTGCTCATCCTCCACTCCTCTGGGAAGACTCTCCTCCTGTGTTGGATGTTGGAACCTGGCTGCAGGGATTTGTTCCCATTCAGCCACAAGAGCTCTGACATTGGGTGATCTGGCGTCCCAGTTCATCCCAAAGGTTTCAGGGCCATAGCTACATTGAGAATTTGCATTTTATTCCAGGTAGTATGAAGAGCTTGAAACACCATCCAGATCTTCCTTCAATCGAATCATTCATTCATGGACATCACTTCCTGCAGAGGGATATTGTTGAAAAAGTTAAGAGGCTTCCTCCGACTGCTGCCACGAGGTCTGAACCACAGGATCATCTAAAATTTCAGCATATGGTGTAGCATTAAAGGGGAACTCCACTTATTTTACACATCAGAGTATACAAAGTTGTATCATGCCATTTAGAGGGAGTCACGAAAAATTAAAGGGGTGTGGAGTTAGAAAGTGAGTTCATGAGAGGTCTGTAGCTGTTCTCTGCTTAACTCACCCTTTAGCCACTACAAGCATAACTCATTAGTTTCTAACATAACTCACTCATTAGCCCCTATTAGCAAAACAATTTTTTGTATTGATCATACTTCAAATACAGTATATATATTTATATATACACGCAATGAATTGTGGGTAATGTCAGCACCAGGTTTTGAACAGTGTAATGCTAAGTCTTTGGTAAACTCCTAAAATTACATTAATAGTAACTAAAAACCTTTTTGGAGCAAATTATTGAGGGACAAACATTTTGTCCAGTTGAGGAACATGTTGGACATTCAGATACTGAGGGTGTCTGATGTGAACATTTTTTGACAGGATGTGGAAAAATAATGATGGCTCACTTTCGGATATCTGTCAGCCTCTGTTATCTCGGTCTCTCCCTCCAGAAAAGTGACATAAACACTGATACAAT